GAAAGTCTGAGCAGGCGTCAGAGAAAAGCATCAGGGAATATCTGCTATTTTAGCTTTTAAGCTCCTGTGAAAAATAGGTAGGAACTGTATTTGTAAACTTTTTTATGCTAACATGTAACATAATCCAGAAAAATGTGCAAATCACTAGTATGCCTCCCATAGAGCATGACCAGCACCAGAAACCCTCTTTACACCCACTTTCATTCACTGTGCACAAAGAGAGCCAGGACCCTGACCCCCACCACTGAAGAGCTGTATCTGTCTTTGAACTTGATATGATAGGGGTTATCTAGTACATGGTACATCTTGTACTTTTGTGTCTAGCTTCTTTCATTTGGTGTTATCTTTGGCATTCAAGACTGGTAGTATAGTATGGTAGAGCAATACTGTTTTGAGAATAAGCCACAATTTATTTATACATTTATTTATCCATTCTGCTCTGCTGGGCAATTGAGTTGTTTCTATTTTTGACTTCTACTAATACAATGGCTACCCTTACTCTTCTGCAAAGCGCTTTTTTCTGATAAGAGATCTATCTACAAAATGTAATGAATTTTTATATATCAATAAGAAAAAATAAACAACCAATAAAACGTTGGAGATTATTGAGTAGGCACTTTGTGTAACAGGACTTTGTCTATAAACGTATGAAAGTCACTAAACCTCATTAATCATCAGAGGTGGGCAAATTAAAAGTACATTGAGATACTATTACAAAACTATCAGGGAGGCTAAAATTAAGGCTGACAAAAATTGAGGACCAATGAGAATCCAGAATAAATGGGACTCTCATTCACTGTGGATAGGAATATAAATTGATAAAGATATTTTAGAAAACTGCCTGGCAGCACATATCGAAGATATATCCCAGGACAGAGCAACTCAACCCCATAGAAGTTTGAACTTAAATCATTTTGATGGACTTTCCAAAATGTTAAAATGGCATCAAGCTATTAATGTGCTTGGCTAATCAGAGGTAGGTGATCATTTTAAATCTTCTTTCAGTTGTTCATCATAACTGGCACACTTGCCACTTTTCTAGAGCTAGCCATGACTTTGGTCAATGTCTCTGCTGTATTTTTATCCAAACTGTGAGTGAGACCTGGGTAAAAGCAGACCCCTACAGCATGGCGCTGCAGAGTTGTTCCTTCTACTCCTCAGTCTTTCCTCTCCCTTTCTCTGTTCAATCTGTTATTAGGCAATTGGGTGCTACTAACTGCAGTTGGATAGGCAGGTGCGAAATGGTTTGTGCCCAGATCTCCTGTAGGTAACCAGGCCAGTGTGGCGAGAGCCACCAGAAGTCTGGTGAAGAGAATTTTAGGCAGAGTGAAAGTAAGAACAAAGATGACTAGGCTCAAGTGAACTTGGCCTTCAAAGAAGAGGGGGGAGATGGCATTTCAGCCCTTTCAGACTTTCACCTGGTAGCCCAGGATGTCTCCCAAGGAACTGGCACCTTGCCCTGAGCTCAAACGCCTGGGGTTCATGGCAATTTCCTCCTGTGCATATTATTATCACCTTCAACATAAAGTCCTTATTGCTACATTCCACTTCTGTTGGCATCCTTGTTGTTGTTGTTTTTAAAGATTTATTTATTTGTGTATAAGAACTGAGGTATAGGCCAGAGATGTAGGGGGTGAGATGATTCACCAGAGACAGAGTGGGGAACAGAACAGGCAGATCGACTGAAATACATTGCTGAGGGGAGCAGTGGGTGGGTCAGGAGGAGAGGTCTGCTGCACCATGTGGGTCACTTCCCCACCTGGGGATCAAACTCATGCTGCAGTGGCTGCAATGGCTTCACAGTGCTGCACTTTAACCTGTTGTGCCAGCAGGGAGGGCCCAGCATCCTTGTTTTATAAACGCCTAGATGGTTCTGTCCTATGGCCAGTGAGTCAGTGCTGGCTGTCAGACAGGAGTTCAGCTCTGGTTGTCTTGGGGCGGAGGGGCAGGCTCACTTCCCTACTACATGGACTCTCCATATTTGAAGAAGAATCTATGTGATTGGTTACCAACAGCAAACAGAATTACCAATCGCGTCACTTGCAGACTAACCAGGATGAGGAAGAAGATGAGGATAAAGCTCATTTATCTGAAATATTTTGCATGTGTTGCTGAATGAAATTTGACAGCCAAAATTGCAGTTCTCCTGGTAGCAATACCCAAATAGAGGGGTTTCTTTAAGGGAATTGATGGGGATTTGACATTATGCAGGTAGGAAAGAGTGTGGAGGTCTGAGCTTCAGATCCTCACTATTTTACTTTAAAAACTGTGACTACAGTTTTATTTGGAAATACAACCGAGGGGACTCAATACACTGAAAGCCAAGCCAAGCCCCTGACTTCTTGCCCAGATTCCCTTCTTGCCAGGAGATGGCAGTGTTGAGCAGAGGCAGGGACTTGAGCATGTCCTTTTTTTTATTACAAGTTCCTCTTTAAGCACACCTTCTGTATGTTAAAGTTACAACTTTTCCTTCCTATAGAAATAAAATGTGGTCTCTTGCCATTGTTGCATGGCCTGTTACCCTTGAGAAAAGGGTTTGCAGTGATTTGTGAAAGTGTACAAAATGCAAAAAGGAAAGACTAAAGATATATGAGAACAAAATGCTGCTGGATTAGACTGTAGATATCTCTAAAGGGTATTATGGGGACCATCGGTGAATTTGAACATGAACTCTGAGTAGATCAAAGTTTCCCAAGTATTTTTAGTTGAAGAGGTCCCAATGTCTCAATATTTTTCAGTGTCCCTCAGCCAAAAAAATATTGTAGGCCAAACAATGTGTTCAGTATTTGTGGCCTAACAACTTAGTACCCATTTGAAAAAAAAAAAAAAGTACATTGGAAGAAAAATATTTATATAATTTTAAAATAACCCTAATTGTTCACTTGTGGGATCTTCTGTGCCTATGTTAGGCATTGCACTTCTCAAGCCTTAGAATCAGCTTTGAGAAGACCAGGCTCACTTTCATTTACACAACAGCTTTTTGCTATGTACTTGCTTTTCACCACACCACTGGAAAACCCAGTATCTCAACAATTTGACGCAGTCAAGGAATAGGGTGCCATCTATTGTTGAAATTATAAATAACATTGCACCAGTATTTTTGCATAGTCTTAGTTCTTTCATTTTGTTTGCCTTGAACATTTGGAAAGTCAAAGATTATCACTGATATCCCCCATCTGAATTCACGTGTGGGGCTCTGGGGACCTCACAGCACAGTTTGAGTACCACAAGAGTAGATAATGGTAATGGATACACTTCCTCATTTCGATAAATATACTGTTGCTGTGTAAAAGAAAGTCCTTGTTAGGAAAGATACACTAGAGTATTTGTGCATAAAGAAACACATTGCAAATTACTCTCAAGTGATTCATTTTAAAAAGCACTACAGCTGATATAGCAAATGAAAGTAAATATTACCAATCAATCAATCTGGATAGAACATGTAAGATTTCTCCCTATTATTCTTGGAATGGTTATGAGCGAAATTATTTCGAAGTAAAGATTTCTCAAAAAGAAATATATACATTTTAAGTTTTATACACATATGTAGTAAAACAATTTTTAAATGCATGGAAATTAAAAGCAACAATCCAGATAGTGGCAGTCTTTTGTAGAGTGGGTGGAGGGATGTGCTGGGAAAAGTTAAGGCAGTATTGGTGGTGTTTTATTTCTTAAACTAAGTGGTGGATCCACCAAATATTATTTATATTATTGTTTAGGGCCTTAAGTATGTCCCAAATATTTCATGTTACTTTGAAAATATGTAGTCTTTCTTAATATATAAAAAGTAAATGAAAACACATGACTGCTTATTGAACGATTACTAAGAACATCATGTGCTTTATTTATCTCCTGCAGTCCTTACCACCGCTGTCCACATCCTGCCAACATAGTAACAGGCTGATTCCAGAGTTGTTTCAAACCCCCATCCCAGGCCTTCCAGCTGCACAGCACACAGTTTAATTCATCCTTCTTCTTTTTATCTTAAAGACTGGGAAAGAAAGCCAATTGTTCTCAATTTTTCAACTCCAAAGTAACTTAAAATATGGCTATACCTATTAAGACCTGGAAATCAGTATGAAAAACATGGTAATAAATTTTAATATTTGGCATGACTTTCCTGCTCTTGTGATCAACTGTAACTAATCAGTCTTTAATAGTTGGTGATTTGACATTTTGCAATTATTCTTTCACAGGACCAGCTCTATTGCAGGGTCAAAGATGAACTGTCAGACATTCACTGATTTAATAAAGTACACTGAGAAGTCAGCTTCTAGAGAATTAATATAAATCCAATTCTTTTAAACTTTATCAGGTCTAACCAGGACTTATATTTGTAAATAATTTTAGAAGCTGCACTGAACTTATATTATTATTGATTTTGAGAACAAGCTTTTTATCTTAAAAAGCATTATTAACATTTTAAAATGACTTAAAATAGCTAAGCTAAATCCCGCTTAACTCTAGACGGACCTTTTCTTAAAGGTTAAGGATTCTCAGTTGCATCCAACCTTGCCAGAGCCCCCTCTTCTGGAAGGACCCCGATTTCCCTATTCCCCTGGCTCCAGACCCTGCTTCTCAGCTTAAGAACAAGAGAAACAATATCTGAGCGTGCAAGGGAGTGGGGGGTAGTTGACGGACACAAGGGGACTAAAATATTCTGCAAACACATAAAACGGACCATGTTCTACTTCGAACTTTTAACGCGACTGGGCCTGAACAAACCCACAAATGCTTCCCGCCCGGGAGCTGCCCTGAACAGCCGATAAATCTCATCACTCGGCTGCGAATGCCACAAATGCAATAACCATCCCGCCGTGCCCTCACTCCCGTGAAGGGCAGAGCCAAGCACCCGCCGTCGCCTCCCCGGAACCCGGGAGCCGGCCCCAACTCCGCTGCGAGCCGGAGGAGCCGGAGGCACAGCCTCGACTCCAGGGCCGGGTGATGACGTCACGGCGCCGTTCTCGCATCGCGAGACCGCGCTCCCTCCCACCCGGGCTCCGGGCGCCCCCAACCGCCGGCGCCCGCTGCCAGGCAGCGGCGGGGATGGCCAGCCGCGGAGCCGGGGCGGTGACGAGAGCAACGGGGCCGCCATTGGACGAGGACGCCTGAGGGACGGGTCAGGGTGGTGAACAAGGAGACGCCGAGGCGGGTGGCCCCGAGAGCTCGAGGGCCATGGAGGCCGGCATGCCGAAGCGGAAGGAGTCTGCCAAGTCCCTGCGCATCAAAGTCATCTCCATGGGCAACGCCGAAGTGGGGAAAGTGAGTACCGCGCCCGGAGGGGCGGAACCTAGCGCGGCGGGGCGACGTGCCGATTGGCTGCGAGGGCGGCCACTCACCAGCGCGGGACCCAGCCCCCTGCCCGCCCCTGAGCTGGCCTGGGTCTCCTCCGGGGGACGCGGCGCGGGGAGGAAAACTCTCCCGACTTTCTTGACCTTTGTCTGGGTTGCCTCTGCCGCACCGACAGCGCTCCCCCTAAATCGGTGGCTGGTGTGGCCTCTAACCTCGGCTGCACCCCACAGACTACAAGGAGGCCTGGTTCCTTCTATCGGGTCGCCTGCTCAGAGACCGTTGGTGCGTTCTAGGTGACCGTCCAGGACGTAGAGGTGGAGAATAAAAGTATAGTTATCCCCAGCAGTGCTTGGGGACTAAAGGGAACCGGGGTTTGAAAGAGGATTGGGGGGTTGTAAGGTGTTGCTTTGCAGATGTCCTGTAGCCCAGACTCTGCATTTCCTCCATGAGAGACAGTAACTGACGCTGACGTGTTCACAGGGCAGGTGTCAGGGCTGTGAAGAAGCCTGCGTTATTTTGTTTTGTTTGCTTATCTTGTTTTTATTACTGGTAACGTCACCGCATCCATTCTCTCAACGAAGCCTTGCTTCTACTACCTTTTCCTGTTCTGCCTCCACTGGGTATCAACTATAGTAATTGGGGTGTTAGGGTGAGAAGTGGGCCATCCTCCAAATGAATTTTAAGGCTTCCTCTTCACCCAAATTGTCCCTTTTTCTGGATAAGTGGAAACTGTTGATTAACTACCTCCCCAGGTAATCAAATCAGAGACAGGATTAAAACCCTGATCTTCACACTTCCACTGTAGCTCTCTTCCCACGCTGTCAAACTCAGCTTCAACGCATGGACAAGGCCAAAGTTAAGGTGGTTAGGCCAATGCTTCATTTATAGCTTATGCACAATACATCTTTATTGGTGTTTTCTCTGCATTTACCTTTACCCTCTGCTACTTCTGGAGCGCTGCAGGCTTGTATGTGTATTAATGTAACATTTCTTGAACCTCAACAGTTATTGTATCTGAACTATGCACTAGGCATTAAAAAGAAAATCAGAACGTCTCTAGAAGGTTATATACTAAATTAAGTGATTAGAGACCACTTTTTAAATTCTATATGCTAGTGGTGCAACATCAGAAATGGCCATTATCATCACTTTTAGCATTGTTCTAGATTTATTAGTCAATGCAATTAGGCAAGAGGGTAAAATAAAATAGGAAGCAGTAGTAAGGAAAAGGCAAAATTATTGTTATTTGCTAATGATTGTTTCTTGGCAACCCAAAGAGAATGAATAGAAAACTATTAAAAACAATAAGATCATGAATATACATAAATCAATAAGATCACTAATTCAGCAAGATCACTAGTATACATAAATCATTAGCTTTACTATATCAAATTATAATTGTTTGGATCCTATAATAAAAAAATTTAGTTTACAATAATAACTAAAATAAAGTGCCTATGTTTAAGAAATAGGTAAGACATACATGAAGAAAAAATTCAAACTGTAAAGGATATAAAACTACTTAGACAAAGGGAAATATATACATTACAATTAATAGTCAGTTTTTTTTAAATAACATACACAAATATTTCAGTTAGTTTTACTAAATCATTCTCTTCCTATTGACTTTAAATATCTCTTTAGTCACTTTTAAATTTTCCTTATATAATGGAATCTATTTTGAGACTCTGTTCTGCTTTACTGACCTACTTGTCTGTTCTGATGTCAATATTATACTGCCATAATTGGCTTCAGATGATATTTTAATATCTGTCAGTGCAGATTCCCTCCTTCTACAATCCTGCCCCATTCCTCTTTATTATTCTTTGATTAGTTCTTCTTAGTTGTTTTTGCAGATGAATTTTAGGAGAAAAAAAGATTCAAACTGTTCAGAGTTTAATTGGAATGTATTAAAAAAGAAAAGTGTCAAAAAATCTAAGGAAAGTGGAGAAAGCAAAAAATTATCTCATTTTGTTACTTAACTTGGCTTGTAAGATCCTAAGGGTCTTAAGAGAGAGGTTAATAATATTCTTATTTAAATATGTATCTCTTTAAACATTTAGGGCTTTTTTTTTTTTTAAAGATTTGTTTATATACACAAGAGCTGGGGTACAGTTAGTGCAGGGGCGGTGAGAGGATTCATCAGAGATAGAGTGGGGAGCAGAAAAGGCAGATGTACTGAAAACCACTGCTGAGGGAGCAGCAGGCGGGTCAGGAGAGGTCTGCGGGGCCATGTGGGTCATCCCACCGGCGCTGGCCAAGGATGGAACTTGGTGCTGCAGTGGCCGTGAGAGCCTCCGCGTGCTGTGCTTTAACCGGAGGCGCCACCAGGGAGGGCCCAGGACTAGTGTTTAAATAGCACATTGGAGTTAAAGAGCTTCCAGGCCTCTTAATCTTGTGAATCATTTAGAAAAAGACTAAGTTTATTTTTCAGGATAACGTGGGAGAAAACATCTGAGAAGTGCTTTTAAGCTATAAAGTGTTTTTAAAAGCGTAGTTAGCTTCACAGGAGTAGTGACGCCAATGAAGTGTTACCTCTCGTTCACAGTGAGCTTATTAAGTACTTTTCAAAGTGACTTTATGATGATGAACTTTATGGTTCATCATGAAAGGATTTGAGGAGAATAACTCCATTACCAGCACTTCAAATAAATGATGTTTTATACTACGAATGCTAAGGATTTACTAATAATGTTTGTCATTTTAATTGTTTTTCTTGGTGCTAAGCAAATTGCTGCAAACAATGTAAATAAAAATACTGCGGTGTGCCCTCTAGTAACTTGCTTTCTAGCTGCAGAGACAAGGTGATAACTAACAACATGAGGTAGCATCTGGCTAATGGCAAATATGCAGTGTGCCTGCGTGCTACAGGACACTTGTGGGGTGCCAGAGGTGTCCAGACGCAGGCCGGGGCTCAAGTAACCAGGTGCTCATCGCTTGAGCTGAACCTTAAAGGATAAGTAAGATTTAGGAAAAAGGGAAAAAATTCATTCCAAGCAGAGGGAAAGCCGGTAAATCAGGGGCCTGAGGGTTTTGTAGAAATAGCTTAAATAGAGCAAACATATTAGGGCCAGATTGTGGAGGACCTTGAATCAAGGACAAAGGGATTTGTTAACCACTGAAGATTTTTGAGTTAGGAAAATCAATAATGTGATTAGTGTGCCATATTGATTAAAGGAAAAGGAAAAGGAAGTAGGAAGACCAATTAAGAATTTCCCACAATTTTGTTGAAGTGAATGACAAGGAGTTAAAGCACAGTGTTATCAGTGGGAATCAGGATGAAAGAAAGAGGGAAGAGACATTCCAAAGAAGGACTCAAAATCAAACATGTCTTTACTATTTTGATCCTCTTTGATTGAGAAAATGCTGTTGTTGTTCGCAGGACTAGGGTGTTAGCAGGATGAGCTTTTATTATGTTTTTGCACATGTTAATGGACATCTGAGTAGAAACTGGTAGGTGGAGGTGTGGAACTGGCCTTGGAAGGGAGGTCAGGGTTAGACAAATATTCGGTGATACTGTTGAAAGTAGAAGAAGGAATCTTCAGAAGAAAGGAGAGTGGAAGAGAACTAAACTAAAAACAGAACCATATGGTATTAAAATAACATTTCTTTAAAATCTTCACTTTTAGCATACATTTCAGTTATATTTTACAGTTTTGACTTTTGAAAAGACTTTCTCTCATAGTGGTTAATGAAGAAATTATAATGAGAATATGTGCTTATTTTGTATCCATTCCCAGGTTTTATTTACTAAAAACATTTTTTTTAACCTTTCTAGAGCTGTATTATAAAGCGATACTGTGAGAAAAGATTTGTGTCTAAATACCTTGCAACAATTGGAATTGACTATGGAGTCACAAAGTAAGTATATTGTGTTGAGGGGGGATTATAAAGTAGAGCTCTTCTAAAGTGATCTTTCTTGAAATAGAAATTGTGAAGATAAATTCAGAAAGACAAGAATAAGAGGCCTGTTTACAGGTAGGTAATGATCATGTCACCACCATTTGCTCACCATTGAGCACTAGATTCTAGTTTTGTGTTGGGTGTAGAGTTTGCAACCCGGAGCAAGTCAGCATGTTTGGCGGTAACTTGTTTTTATATGAACTTGTTCTATCAGTAATTGTGCTTTTGGAGCACTTGAATAATCTCTCTAAAATGTGTACTCTATGTGCCAATTTCTAAGGACTTGGTTGGTTCATGGTCTTATAGCCTATTGGAATCCAGCAAAAATGACCTGGAAGAATGAACTGGGTATTTATTTGCTGATCCATCAAAGGTAAGTTGGACTTGGGGAGACAGGTACATTAGCAGGAAATAAGACTGCCAAGGCATAGACTTAAGTGGCTGGCCCTTGGTAAAGGTGGGACTCCAGGTGCTCGTGATTCGTGCCCAACCTTCTCTCACTGTGCTCTGTACCTGCTTCACCCTCCATCCGCAAGGAATTATGCCCTCACGTTTTCCTGTCCCAGTGCCCTTATTTATTCTGTCTGCCTGAAATGTTCCCCCCTCCTCTTGCCACTTGTCAGTTTCTTCAAGGTATCAAGTGCTTCTGTTCCCAGAAGGCCATCTGAGTACCCCCTTTATCAGGCAGGACTCTTTGGTTCTAAATGACAGAAATCTTAAACTTTATGTTGTTTGTGATAATTACCACAGACTTCCTGGTGTTATTTTGTTGTTTGCATGTGTGTGATGGTTCCTGCTAATGATAAGCCCTGTGAAGAAGAGGCTGACCTCTCTAAGTTCCTAGCACATGCTTGTACATAGTAGATACTCAATAAATGCTTTTTGTTAGGTGAGCTAAGACACATCTAGGCAGGAAGTTTGCAAGTTTAGAATATGAGGGCAACAGTTAAGAAGGCAAACTAAAGTGATGGGCCTATCTGTACTTCAGGGCACAGAATTTCATCAGTGATATGGTAGGATTAAAATGCTTTTAATCCATTTAAGTAAAAGAAATGAGAATTACCATATTATGCTGCAGACTTGTGGTTTATTCAGCAGTTCAATCATAAGGTTGTTCCATGTGATTCAAGAGGATGTAATTGACAGAAACCCAACTCAGACCAACTCAAGGAGAAAAAAGGCTGCTAATCAGTCCACTTAATCCAGTTACAGGGGTGGGGCAAGGCCTCAGAGGTGCCGAGAACCAGGGACAGAATAGAACCAGATAGATCATTTTACTGCATATCTCTTTCTGCCTTTCGCTTACTTCGCCCAGCTGCCAGCAGCTCTCAGGCTCACATTGTGAAATTTCCTTCTAGAGAGGGATCAGAGCTAACATTCCAAGGTTAGAAATCCAGGAAGGCTTTAGTTGTCCAGTAGGGAGGGCTTTCTCCAGCCCCAGCAGTTGTGGGCAGCAGGGCGGGACCCACAAGTTGGCAGAGCGCCTTTCAGCCGCACCTCTGTGAATGATCTCCATGAGGAGAAGTCTGTGGACCATCAGCATAGCAGATTCGGTTCCAGCCTTCCTGCTTCTACTACGGCAAAGCTCAAATTTCCGCATTGCATGTTACTTGCAGGACTTGGAAATGTGCAGGTCCTTGGGACCCACCCACTATGGTTCTGATTGTGGGGCCTGAGGGGGTGCCCAGTAATCTGAATTTGTAATAGCCTCCCTGCTCATAATGGTGCTGTGGGTGGTGTTCCGGCCACACTGGTGACGTGTTACCAGTTCTTAAGGCAACTGCCGTGTGGCTCCCGAGTTAAATGGGCCGTCTGTGTTTTAGTGTGTGAACGTTGTTAGTTCCTGATCCTCAGCCTGTCCCTTCTCAGGTGCTGTCTTTTTTTTTGATGAATTTCATTTTTAAAGATTTATTTATTTATGCATATAAGAGCTGGGTACAGGCCACAGGTGCGGGGGCTGAGACAGAGTGGGGAGACAGAGTGGAGAGCAGAACAGGAGGATGGAATAAAATACACTGCTGAGGGGAACAGCGGGCCTGTCAGGACTGGTCTGCTGCACCTTGTGGGTCAGCTCTGGGCCAAGGATCGAACTCCCGCTGAAGCAGCCGCAGCCAGCTTGCAGTGCTGCGTCCTTACCCACTGTGCTGCCAGGGAGAGTCCAGATGCTGTCTTTTTAAGGTAAAATGTTCTAGTAGAAATTCTTTTATAGGATTTCTCTGGTTACACTCAAACTCTTGTTATTATGTTTTGTTTGTTTTTCTCTTTTTATACTCTGCATTTATAAGCTGGATCTTGATTTTACTGATGTTAAAATGAAAACAAGGTGCATCTTAGAATGGATGAAATATGGTCATATGTGAAACATGGTCAGGAAGGAAGAAGTCATAAAAAGATGATTAGTGGTTGGTTTGATTTAAATATACAAGTAATATATAACTACTCTAGAAGTTACGGCTTTAAACAGAAAGTGGATGCCACAGACATCAACAAGGGGGCCACTGGGTTAAAGCACAGCACTGTGAAGCAATCCAAAGCCACTGTAGCACGAATTCGATCTTCCCCTACCAGGGAGGTGACCCACGTGGTGCAGCAGACCTCTCCTGACCTGCCTGATGTCCCCTCAGCAGTGTATTTCAGTACATCTGCCTATTCTGCTCCCCACTCTGTCTGGTGAATCCCCTCACTCCCTGCACCTGTGGCCTGTACCCCAGTTCTGTGTGCATAAATGAATACATCTTAAAAAACAATGAACATCAACAAGGGAATGAATAATAAATATGCCAGAAGGTGATATAGGGGCATTGAGGCAATTGCTAATGTCCTCATATTCCATGGAGACACACCAATGCTGTGTCAAGTAAAACATACTTACTTGAAAAACACAGGGACTCAACTCTGTAACTGTCAATAGTCACTCTTTGAGATCATACTTCTTATGGTGAGGAAACATTTGTTTTTAAAAGCTCAGTAAAAATTCTTAATTAAAAAAAATTCTTAGTTCATTTCAGTTTTTTTTTGCTTTTGTTGATTTAATGTAAATGTTATGCTTTTTATTTTTAAATAGTATAATCCCAGTTTTATTCTTAAAGATTCATTTACATATGCATATAAGAACTGGGGTATAGGACAGCAGTGCAGAGGGGTGAGAGGATTCCTTAGAGACAGAGTGGGGAACAGAACAGGTGGATCCACTGAAATACACTGTTGAGGGGAGCAGTAAGTGAGACAAGACAGCTCTGCTGCGCCCTGTGTGTCACTCTCTGGTGGGGGATGGAACCGGTGCTGCAGGGCTGTGGTCAGCGTCACTGTGCTGCGCTTTTAACACCCTGTGCCACCAGGGAGCCCCCAGTATAATCACATTTTTAGAAAAATATTTTTGTTTATCTGTCTTACCTGTGCATAAAAAGTCTGCAGTGATGTTCATGTATATTTAGGAACTTTTTTCTGGGTTTTAGGATTTGGTGTACCTTTGAAACTTTTGTCTTTGTATTTTTTTATTATTTGAATTATTTGCGTTTCATTAACTTTCAGGTAATAATTTTCCTTTTCTAAAAAAAGTAAAATAATGTGGCATTAACAGTAGTTAAATCTAATATGAATGGTTGTTACTTTTTTTTTGTTCTCTCTGTTTTCGGTTTTCTGGAAGCAGATGTCAATTGCTCTTGCTCAAGTAAAAATCACAAGAAAATGTAATAGATGTCAGTAATACTAGGCCTTTGCTATTGTGTACATGGTAACCAGGCATAGCCATAGTAACTAAGATGTTTTAGTAAGAGTAATGAAACGTCTTCCTTTTCTTTAATTTATTCCTACTTGTTCCAAATCTTTTCTTTGTGGTAGTAGCTACCATTTGTCAGGTAGGAGGTGTGACCTGAAGAATCTTGAAGTAAGTTGAAGATGAATGAGGCTGCATATTTTCAGATTTATTTTTCTTAAAATTAGGTGGCAGGAGCACCTGTCAAGTTGCTGACACCCCTATTTTAAAGATTAAGTGGAATCAAGAAAGTCCTTTTAGGACTGGGGGTGGGGTGGGGATAATAATAATAATGAACAACAATATACCAGAGATATTTTACGGGGGTGGAAAGGGGAATGGGATCAAAAACAGTGGGGGGAGGGAAAGGCACTGGACTATGGTGATGGCACATGGGTGATTTTGTGATGGGAAGCCCATGGGGATTACAACTGAGATGGAAAAAGGCACAAAGTGATGTAAAAAAAATTATCAGAAGTAATTCCTAAAACTTAAATGTAGGCTTATCATACTTTAATGTACTTTATATTTGTATTTTGGCTTAATACATCAAAATAAAGCAAAAACCATTAATATTAAGCAACACAACATATATTTACTTTTTATTCAAAGATAATAAAGATGGGTATTCTACTATGATTTTTATTAAAAAAATGTCCTTTTAAAATTTCATACATATACACTATGAAATTTATAAAAGAAATTAATGATAATGCAGAAGCCATGACCTTCTTTGGAATTATTTGCATTTGTTCATTTCAGGGTACAAGTCAGAGACAGAGAAATCAAAGTTAACATCTTTGATATGGCTGGACATCCCTTCTTCTACGAGGTAAAAAGGCCTTTTTTTGAGGAAACCAATAGCCCTTATCATCAGTGAGTTTAGGGAGCGATCCCAAACTGTCTGCTACTGGATACTAGAGCTACGCAGCTCGTGTTCTCATGGAACATGAGTATGTCAGAAAAGACACATGCTGACCAGGTGACAGTGCTCGGGACCATTAAGTACCCAGGTCCAGCTTACCTGGGAGGATAGGAAATCCTTTGAAAGAAGCTACACTTAAACTGACTGTTGATGGGTAATCAGCTACGTAGGCTGTTGGAACCCACGGGCACAGCACACAGGGCAGTTCTGAGAGGCGTGGAGCAGAGCTTGGCACATCACTGCCGCTCACGGTCAGTCCCCTGCTTCAAGTGCTGAGCCTCTATGGGAGTCAGACGCTGACGGCAGCCCCTCCTCTATGAAGGCTGCCTTCCTTTGACTTTCACCACTGATTCTGGTCTTGTTTTGGGAGCAACGCAGCCTGAGTCAGTGATTCTTCACGAGAGCCTTTCTAATTATTTGTTAATCTGCTCCTTACCCGGTAAAACATTTTTTTATTGCTGCCACCGCTATCCCTGTCACATCCTCTGTAAATAATCTCTAGATAGCTGATAGGGAGCTGAGAAGGAAACACAACAGTCCAGATACTGTCTGACTAGTGAAAGACACTGAGTGGTCTGTTACTTTCTGTCATTAGACACTGAAATCATAATAGCTTTTTTCCCCCAGCAACTCATAAAAATAGAAGTATAATTAATAGAAGATTCTTGAAGTCACCACTTCTGAGATACTTTTTCTCTGAATTAGCCTTAGTAATCTTAATCTTGCCCCTTTTTGTCAGACATTTGCTATTTATAGTTCATCTCCTCCCTTTGACAAGACAAAAGCCTTCATCATCATCTTCAGCCCCTCATTAGCCAAGGGTGCCTTTGCTCAGGGAAGCAGCACGGTCATTCTCACCACCCTGACTCTTCAGCTCTCGGTGCTCGTCCTGCATCTGAGCTGAGATAGCACAGTCTATGTGAGGTATGTGAGGCAGCAGTCTTAGCAAGTGTCAGGGAGAGGACTCCGGGGAGCCCATGTCTGGCGCTCACCTCCAGTCTTGCTCTCACCGGTGCCTGCAACCCAACCCTGGCCTTACAGGGTCTAGAGAAATTTTCTGCAACTTGAGTAATAGCTTTCTGCAACCCACAAGGTAGAAAACACGCCATCTCTGCTTGAAGAATGAGATAATCCCAATTCCCTAGGCATCCTGTTTAATTAAGCTTTGTTGTAGCAAGTCTGCTAGGACTCAATCTGATGTTGTTTGGGAGACAAGGCTGATAGAACCATAGGGAACCACTGAAACATTGACTTTGAACTTTTCATTTTGCAGAGAAGGAAACTAAGACCCAAGGTAATTAAATAAAAACTTACTCAAGATTATATAGGTAGCTAGTTGCTGAACCCAGACTTGAACTTGATTGAGTTTCTTGAAAGAGAATTCCTTTGCACTTGCTAAATCTCTTTGGCACAAATCTCTCTCTGGACATCATGAGCTACATTTTGAAATTCATTCTTTTCTCCTTTGGTCTTGACTTTTGTTCTCTACTATAGCCCGTCCAATCAGTTAAAAAAAAAGTCTCAAGTTCTTACACTTGCAAGGCCCAGTGGTAGCAGAGACGGGGCATCAAGACAGTGCTTGCAGACCCGAGAAGACACTAGTGCAGGTCTAGAGGCCGAGCTGGAAGGGCTCGTCTTGGAGGCTTTGAAACTGTCCAAGTGGTTGTTGTTGCTGAGTTGTAATTAAGAAAAAAAGGACAGGGGGCCATGGCAGGATTTGGGGGATCATGGTGGCAACCTGGAGGGAACAATGGAGAGAAATGGAGTTAGTGAAAGAGATCAGTTATGCGCCTTGGGAGCCAAGGTAGCAAGAGTCTCAGGAAAGAAAGGAGAACCCTGTTTTAACTGCAGCAGGAAGGCACAGGGCCTGAGTACGAGAAAAGATTGTCTTTATCACTTTCAATTTTTTTCTGATTTTGTTGGTTTTAATTTTAGGAAGTAATTTTAGTCATCGTTTCTGCAAATTAATTGGCAGGTCATTCTTGGTTCAAGTAGTATCTTTGCTCAGAAACCTAGAGACACTTTCTGCCTCATGTTTACATGATATCTTCATTTCTTGACACATATTCAGTGTTTCTGGGTAAGTACTGGAATTTTCTGAAAAGGACAGATAGTACATTATCATTGTCAAAGTTCTTCCTGGACGTTTGGCCTGAAATGCCCAATCTGCAGTTGCCATCACCCACTTAGCCTGTCACTGCTTTTGCCAGTTTAGTTTGCCCTGTACATCATGTGCCCAGAATTATAGATATGCCCAGAGGCAAGTTGCCATTTCTAGAAGGATAGTCAGAGAACGAGTGCAAGGAAGGAACAGAACAGGTGCTGATACACATTGTTCAGGTACCGTTTGGTTCTCTGCCTTAATGATCTCGCTTCATCTTCATAACAACCCAGTGAAGTAGTAGTAGCAACCTGATCTTGCATATGAGGGAACTGAGACACAAAAGTTAAGTGATTTGCGCAAGATCACACCGTTAGTAAGTACATGTGAACCCAGATCCAGCTAATTCCAGAGCCCATTCTCTTGGCACCACGTTACACTAGGCTCTGAGCTTGGAGCTCTAAAATTGGTTTGCAGACTCAGGAGTCACAGGAAGCTCTGCCCAGCGTCCAGGGGAAGCCAGCTTTGCGATGGGATAGATAATTGGCTGTACTGTTACTGATACCTGTGTCACTTTTACTTTAAGTTCCTTTTAATTGTTTGCTCACCTTCTGAGTTCTTGCTAAAAGCCTCATTCCTCACGACTTGTGTAGATTTAAGGTCTAAGGACAATTAAAGACTGATTGCCTCTAGGGAGTGGAACAGGAGGTGAAGGTGGGGGACAGGAGACGCTTGTTTCCGTTACAAGTCCTCTGTACTACCAGGCTTTTTAAAAACATGTTACTCTGACTTTGTAAGACGCCCCCTACAGACCAGTAGCTGCTGGGACACCCTGATGCAAATACTAGGGATGCGCCCAAGGGCACACTGTGAAATCAGAGACGCCAGAGGCGTTTTTATGAAATCGCAAAGCTCCCATTCTCTGCTTTTATTCTTTTATGTGAAGGTTCGGAACGAGTTTTACAAGGACACACAGGGTGTGATACTGGTCTATGACGTTGGGCAGAAAGATTCCTTTGATGCCCTTGATGCGTGGCTGGCAGAAATGAAGCAGGACCTTGGACCGCATGGAAACATGGAGAATATTGTATTTGTAGTGTGTGCCAATAAGGTAATTTCTTTGGAAATGGTGTGCTCAACTTCCAGATTCATTTCTCTGATTGCTCCGAGTTTTAGGGTATGTCACAGAAAATTCCTCGTGCTTAATAGAAAAATCAATAACTTTCCAAACATATCTTTAAAATTAGCAATATTTTTCAAAATACAGTATGGCACAATATTTATCCATTTCTTTCCTGATGTCTCTCTTGGGGAGGAATAGTGGCAAACGAGCAGGAAAGGCCACTCTGACCCGACTGGAGTGGGGCCCTGTAGGTAAACTGCAGCCTGTGGAAGTGTGGCCTCGAGTGTGGCAACATCACCATGCCAGTTTTTAGAGGTGACCAGCTACAGTTGTTTAGGAGACTGGTGAGAAGTTTAGTCACAGACACTTGCAGTTTTGCTGAATAAATCAGTCAATGTTTATTTAATATCAGTAATTTTTGTCTCAATTAGTCTTGGTAATTTTATCATCAAGAATAGTGTTATTGTTATTTTGCTCAGAACCTGGGCTTATTCTAGTGGGCCAAGGTTGGAATCTTCTCCCTCAACTTTGTATTTCAGATCGATTGTACCAAGCACCGGTGTGTAGATGAAAGTGAGGGTCGTCTCTGGGCCGAAAGTAAAGGGTTCCTATACTTCGAGACTTCAGCGCAAACTGGGGAAGGAATCAACGAGATGTTCCAGGTACCCTAGCATTTTGTTGTTTTGTGTCAAGGGTAACCATGCAAATTTTAGTTAAAGTTAGGAAAAGCAAAAAGGGTAATAGAAATTTCTCATTGTAATAATGCTTTATTTTCAGAAGCTGATATGAAAATGAGAGAAAAAGAAATGCCCTTCATTAGCTCTAGGTCAGCCTAGCTGTTATATTCAAAATCCCCAGGGGAAATTCCTCAAAATGCCAGTTGCTGAGCTCCCTACTTGCTGGGACCCAGTGTGATGACATTCAGAAATCTGAATTTGGAAAAGCTCTTCAGATGATTCTAATGACATGAGGTTTAACATGGTTATTATACATTTACTTTAGCAGACAAAGGTTTTCTTTAAAACTACCTTTGGCTCGTAGTGTGAGATTTATAATGCATAATGAAATGAAAGCATTACTTTGCAAAATTGCTTTGTCATAGCTAGTGGAGTTCTATATTGTAGTCCAAGGGGGTGCAATTAGTCAATGGACAGTTATAACTGCAGAATCAAACCAGTTCTATAAAAATTAGCTCTTACCAATTAGATAGATAATAGAAGAATCTACTCACATTGCAGCCTGAATAGATGGTCACTTTTCCAAAATTACTAATCTTGAATAATTTTAAAGGAAGGAGGAGGTTATTTGAAACAATGTTACAAAGTGAAGTCAACTCTTAATTATAGATACATTTGGAAGTAAGTGGTGATATGAATAATGCATTTTTTCTTATGAATATATCTGATATTTTGGGAATTTTTAGCATTTCAAATAAAGTAGCTACACTGTAAAGAGTTGTTCTTAATTATTGAGTGGGATTTTATACTGGATTTCCTTCTCACAAGCTGTCACTCCTCCCACTAGCAGACAGGCTTCCTCCTTGACTGACAGGCTGAATAGGGCATCAGTAGCTTCTATTTCAAGACCAAATAAGGTTGATGCCGGTTTGCTACTTTCTATTCTTTTGAGTACACAGACCTATGTGCATTTTTAACCATGTATGTGCCACAGTGACCCTTAATAGTATTTTACAGTTCTAGAAAGTTTACATGTTTCATCGCATTTACGACTCTCGGGCCTGACATTATTCTCATTTCAGATGTAAGGACATCTAAGAGTAGGAATGACTTGTCTGAGAGGTCTGGACAATAATTGTTAGAGATCAGATTTCGCTCAGCACTTAGAGACGTTGCTTGGTTCGGGAGTGGCTGCGCTGTGCTTCAGGAGCTTGGGAGAGCTTGGTGTGGCCTTACCCTCACGCCCCAGATGGCCTGTCCTTTCCTCCCCGCCAGAACTCAGTGCTTCTCTTGTCTTTGGTTTTCAGCAGCTGTAGATCTCTTTATATTTGGAGTTTGTTGATTTTCTTGCATTTGCAGCCAGTGATGTTTTTATCAAATATGGTGTTTTGTTTTCTTTTACCATTATTTCTTCAAATTTTTTGCATTTTCATCTGGAACTTTAAGTGTGCATTTGACCATTTGATTTTTCCCTTAAAGTGATGTTTATCTTCCATATTTTTCAGATTGCATCTATTTTACTGATTTGACTTCAACCAGCTGCTAAATCCAATGGGTGAATTTTTCAGTCAGTGTCTTTCATTTCTAGAATTTCCCTTTTTTGGGCCTTCCTGGTTTTCTTCTGAGATACTATATCTATTCACTCACTAAGAGCATGTTTTCCTCTAGTTCTCTGAACACATTCTCCTTTGCCTCTTTAAGTTAGTTATAATAGCTGTTTTAAAGTCCTTGTCTACTAAGTGCAATATCTGAATTATTTTAGGTTCAGTTTCTATTATACTTTTTTCCAGACTGTGGCTCACATTTTCTTGTTCTTTTGTATGAGTAGTGACTTTGGATTTAACACCATTCATTGTGGATAATACATTATAGAGGGTAAATACATATATTCTTTTTTTTAAAAAAATTATTTATGCATATAGAACTGGGGTACAAACCAGAGGTGCAGGGGCAGTGAGAGGCTTCACCAGAGACAGAGCGGGAGCAGAACAGACCGACTGACGAAGTACACTGCTGAGGGGAGCAGCAGGCAGGTCAGGAGAGGTCTGCCACGCCATGTGGATCACCTCTGGGGCGGGGATTGAACTCATGCGGAAGTGGCTTTAGTTTCTTAGTTCTGTGCTTTAACCTGCTGCGCCACCAGGGAGGGCCAATACATATATTCTTTTACTTTCCTCAGAATGTTGATTCTTGTTTCAGCAGCAGTTAAATTGTGGGTAGATTATGTGAACTTGTGTAGGTTTGATTGCTTTTCTTCTTTCTTTAATAGCAGGGATCACAAGGAATTAAAGTGTTTCCCTAGTCCATCTAGCTTAGCTGAACTGAACATCTGTCTTACAGATCTTAAAACCTTTTGGTTTAGGTTTTGTTCAGATGAATCTAACTCCTGAGGTATGACATTTCCCTGGTGTCTCAGCTAGACATAAGGGGTGTTAATGAAATGTCAGACCCTGGTGTCCCCAGGGAAGGCTTTCCGCAGCACTGATAGACTCCAGTCCCTCAGTTCTGCTCTGAGTGCTCTGACCTGGTTAGCCTTGGGTCACTTTACCCTCTGGAGGCATGGCCTAGCCCTCTGCTACAGACTAGTGGTGAACTCCCCCTGTGTGTTTCAGGGGCCAACCTCTTCCCTGCTCCCTCACTGGCACCCTGCTCTGCGGAGTCTGACCACATCAGCATGCCCAAGCTCTGATGTGGTTAGCTTTAGCACAGTGGGGACACAGACTCTAGGCACCTGTGACTTGGTCAGACAACAGGTTCCATGTTGAAAATGTGAGGTACAGCCTTATACTTGCTTTGTCCACTATCTGTAAATATTTTTTCACTTTTATGGTAGTTTATATGGTAGGTAGCCTCATTATGAGTAGAGCTCACATATGGAATTTAGAAAGAGTTTTGCTTTAATTTTAGTGTTCTATGTTGTATACCACAGCTGTTCTTCTAAAGCTATATGTGTTGAGAGTGAATACTGTATGCTCAGAAACCTGAGTGTTTTTATTTTAGTATAACCTAAAGAATAAAAGAAAATGTTATTGCTGCATAGCACAAGAAAACATCTGTGAACTCTGGCCACTTTTTGGGCTACTTTTATTCTTGTAAATAAATCTTGAAGAGAACTAATGCATAAAGTAGTCTATTAAAGAAAAAGTCTAACAGTATAATAAAATTATTCTGTAATTAAGTACTTATAAGCAGTGGTTTTTTGTGAGTTTAATTTAACAAACCTTTACAGAGGAACTGTGAAGTGTATAACCTTGACTTTATCTTATATACATTGTTAAAAGAGATTAATATTAAGATAGACTAAAACTAGGTTCACATGCCTTTCTCCTGGTGTTTCATGCTTTCCTGTGGCATCGCTTTGCACGTGACAAGGCTTCTTATTTAGGTTGCCAGTCAATTAGCTGCTCCGGGAGATAAGAAAGAGGAGTCCCAGAGAAAGATGAAACACTTAGAGGACAATGGGAGCTATAGGTAGCAGGGACTATAGAAATATCTGGAAAGAATGTGAAGAGATTAAGAAAGAAATGGAGAAGAGATAATGTCCATTTAAAAGCAACCATAATATATTAAGTTAGTATTGGGTGAAGTTATTGAACAATAAAGATGCACAGTTGAAAGGTAAGCAATATCAACACATAGTTTTCACTTTGAAAAACATAGAAATAGGCAAAGAAACAGAGAAGGGTTTATAAACTTGAAAAGAGAGTCAGCTTCACTTGTAGGTGAAGAAATTATTAACAGTGGTTACCTTGAAGAGAGGAACTCGGGTGAGAAACAGTTTTCATTTTACACATTTTTTTTATTATTGGAAATTTTTTAACAGTGTTCATTTATATTTTAACCTTAAGTCTAATTTTGAAGAGTAGGATTATGAGTCGTTTAATTTTACTCCTTTTACTTTTTAAGTAAAGTGTGTTTACACTTACAGAAACACATATATGTGTATTAGCAAACTACATAATGTTGTATAATATATTTGTAATATGTAACAACAGAAAAACATTTTCCAAAGTACATATTAGTTTTATCATGAATTTTTTTTTTAAAGATTTATTTATTTATTTGTGCATACAGAACTGGGGTACATGCCAGAGGCTCAGGGGCGGTGAGAGGCTTCACCAGAGACAGAGTGGGGAACAGAACAGGCAGAATGACGAAGTACACTGCTGAGGGGAGCAGCGGGCGGGTCAGGAGAGGTCTGCCACGCCATGTGGTCACCTCCGGGGCAGGCGGGAATCGAACTCAAGCAGAAGCGGCTTTATATTCTCAGTGCTGTGCTTTAACCTGCTGCGCCACCAGGGCCAGCTTTATCATGAATTTTAAGTTGAAGTTGATACTTAAGAGGTATGCCTCTTTTCCCAAGATTAATTTTCCTGGGACGTGTGGTTTGTGTTTTTTCCAGACCTTCTATTTATCCATAGTGGATTTATGTGAAAATGGTGGGAAACGTCCAGTCACCAACAGCAGTGCTAGTTTCACCAAAGAACAAGCAGATGCCATTCGCAGAATTAGAAACAGTAAAGACAGTTGGGACATGTTGGGGGTCAAGCCTGGAGCCTCAAGGTAAGCAGTGCTTTTGGTCCCGGGTGCCGAGTTGTGTTGGAAACACAATTGTCAAAATGATAGGGGCAAGGTAGCTCCTTGCCGTTGCCTAGAAGTGGGAAGAGTTGTAAAAATAGATTATTTTGTGACACTCCTTCACTGAAGTAACTGAATACCAAAGGAACAAAATAAGAGGACGCAGCTTCCCAACAAGGGGAGGGTGGCACGCACGCCCCTAACTGCCCCCTGAGCTGGCTGGCTCTGCCGGGGAAGGTCTGCTGGTGCTTGCATTAAGTAAGCCTTGAAGCCAAGATGACCTTGAAAAAATACCTTACAGAAGAGTATTCTTAAGTCATAGCATTTTAGAGGATAGGACAGTATCAGCCATCAACTTGTCTAAACATTTTATTGTAGATGTGGGAAAATCAGAACTCAGAGAGGCCGATCACATATTCCAGCACCACGGGCTTAGGGGCAGAATCGAACTTGACGTGTCTACCTGGTGCTGTCTCTGTTCTTTCTGTTTCTCTCAAAATCCTGCCAGTTCTTCATCTGAGTATGTATTTTGGTTTAATTATTTTATTTTAAATGCCAAAATTATCATTCAGGAAGAAGAGAAATAAAAGCACTTTTTTTGTTGCTCGTACAAGAATAAATCATTTTTTAGTCTGGTTATAAAACTTTGAACCATATACTACTACTGTTATTACTACTGTAAGTTATAAGACTGATTTTCTCCTCTTGCTTTTTTTCTACTTTTCTACCTTGATCCCCACAAAAGAAAAAATTGTCTTGAAACACCATGTCAACATTAAGTACCTCTTATCCATGTTAGTCTCCCAGCATGTTTTCAAGTCCAGAAGGAAGAGGAACAGTGACGAGACAGTTATTAGTCACCCTTGACTTCCTCACACTATTGAGGGTGCTAGAACGTGTGCAGGAATTCAGAGGCGCTCACAGGTACAGCCCAGAGTTAATTGGTATATTTTACAAGTCCTTTAGACTCTCATAGCCTCATTCTAAATTCTCCCACTCATCGAAAGTCTTCCATTTCCAAGACTTTCCATGTCCAAGGGATAGTGACTGTACAACCAAGAAACTGTTACTAATTGATTAAATTAGAATAATTCTCATTAAAGAAAAAAATTAGCTTTTTATTTATTCACCATGGTTAATTGGAATCTACAAAACAATCAGGACCTCCATACGTTCCTTATCTTTAACTGATATTAACTGATACTTCTCTTTCTTCCCCTGGGTTCATCAAATTAATTTTCTATGCTATTGAGTATTGTTGGGCAACCCTAAAAACATTTTAAGTTACAGAGGATTTTTTTTTTTAGACTTATTTATTTATGCATACAAGAACTGGAGTACAGGCTGGGGTGTCGGGGGTGAGAGGATTCACCAAAGACAGAGTGGGGAGCAGAACAGCAGATCTACTGAAACACACTGCTGAGGGGAGCAGTGGGTGAGACAGGAGAGGTCTGCCGCGCCCTGTGGGTCAGCTCTCCAGCTGGGAATTGAACTTGTGCTGCAGTGGCTGGCAGTAGCTTGATAGCACTGTCTTTAACCCCTGCATCACCAGGGAGACCCAAGTTACAGAGGACTTTTAATGTTTGTTTGCTGCTATGTTGATTGTCTTGCACTTCAGCAGAATTAATATATCTGTTACATACCTGAATCAGCTTGCTTTTCCAAAACTTTTCTTTGAAAGTCTTTCTGCTCCCTGAAATTCTTGAAAGGCACTCTTAGTGCAGTGGCCCAGGCCCAATTCTTAATTCCATATGAACATGCTTCCTCAGAAAGTAGAGTCGCTGACAGGGCCCTGCCAAGGACTCAGCCATGGGGAAGACCCCCTACTGAGTGGGGGGCTTTTGGAGAAATAAGAATTCTGGCAGTTCAAATTCTTCACAGGAGACTGAGATTCTTGCTAGCTACCATCAAAACTACCTCTGTGAAACAGCAACATGCAAGGTTAAAACAAGAAAATTCAGGACAAATCTAACAGCATTAAGCAGAAAAAGCCTTAGAATGTGCGTTCATACCCTGAACAGTTAAAATGGTCCACGACCTCAGTGTCTCCAAGTGGACACAAGACTCTGTCATATCCAAGTGGACATAGGCTCTGACGCATTTCAAAGACTGTGTCCCTAATGTGGGATTCCTTCTGATAAACATAGAGAGTAATAGCTAGGGTGTTGGGGAAGCACCCTATCACATGTTTACAGGATCACTGGAACCTGAATGGCAAATAAGGCAGGCAGTGGGCTCTGTGGGAGACAGAGCTCATCTGATGGGGGTCCCCCAGGCACGTAGAGGCCTTTTGGAGGCCCAGTGGCTGAGCTGTTGAAGAGCAGGTGGAAGGACATGTGGTCCCCCTCAAACCTGTGCCCCCCAGAGAAGGCAGGCTTTGGGGCCTCCTGGCATTCTGCTGGCCTTTGGGAAGTGTTCAGTGTTCTTTTCCTCTCTGCATAGTATTAATTTCTAGTTTCTTCTGTGGTCTCAGGACTCCCCGTAACCCACGTGCCACTTTTCCGGGGTCCCTGTCTTGGGCCACTGGTGGTGTTAGCACCTTCCCAGGGCCTGACCTCCCCATCACATTGCCACTCATTTCAACCCCTTTCCCTCCCATCTTCAGTGTGATCTGCTCATTAGCTCCTCTGCCGTCTCGTTCTTCAGACCTGATTTATCTGCCCCCCAGGCTCCCATAAACACCGCAGTCTAAGTGCCTGTATCCCTTCTTGGGTCATGGAACACCCGCTTGGCTGGGTGCTAATTTCAACAAGTTTCCCCAGTGTCACTTTGCTATGAAACACCAACCATCGTTACTCTTCATCAAGTCCAGTTCTTCTCTCATTTGCCGTCAGGCGCCTTCCTGACCCCTGCTCCCTGGTCAGCTGTTTCCTGTACTTCACAGCATGGCTTCCCCAGATTTCGCTGGCCCTGTCTCCATGGCTGCCCCCCAGCATTGCCCCGGGCCCCACCTTCTCAGACCGACTAGGGGGCTCCCCAGCTCATCGCCTCCCAGGTGGTGAGCGCCTCTGGTTTCCTCTGATGTCCTTTACCAGGAGCTTCTTTAGCATTTATCTGCTCACTTTGCATTGCCGGTTTTCCCACTTGTGTGGCACATGATTCGTGGCTTGTTTGCTTCTTAGTCCTTTAGTTCCACCTTTGAGAAAGGGAATGTGCTTACAGCAAGAGGGATCGTTTTATCCAGACAACTGAGATGCAGTGAGTGTTGCTGACATAGAACTTTGCTACTTTCCTTAGGGAGGAAGTCAACAAAGCATATCGGAAACTCGCTGTGCTTCTGCACCCTGACAAGTGCGTGGCCCCTGGCAGTGAAGATGCCTTCAAAGCAGTTGTGAATGCCCGGACAGCCCTCCTGAAAAGCATCAAGTAGGAAAGAGAGAAAACAGTGTGGGCCATAAGAGCAAGGACACTTTCACAGAGGTGAACCGGCCAGCATGGATTTGCCCTCCACAGATGGTTCCGTACTTGTCACTGTGCGCGGTCATTGTGAGCCCTTGGCCCAGGAGGCTGTCACTTCCTGGGCACTTTACACAGGGGAGAGCCAAGGGCCACTGATGTCTCGCTCATTTCATATCTCCAAATAACCTGAATTTCTTTTCATTTGTAAGCTCTGATACTGCAGCATCCCCTAGGCCTTTTGCTCCTAAGAGTCCTGGGTTTCTGTAGGGGGGAAGGAGGACTGGCACACCCTTCACTTTTCATTTATTTATTTATTTATTTGATTGATCATCAAAAGAAACCACAGAAACGGAAGCAGATAGCATTAAAAGCCCTGAAGACTGAGTGTGACCTCGCAAGCAGACTGCTCCTTTCCCAGTGAGCTCCACAGGTCCTGGGTCCACAATTAGCCATCAGTCTACAGTGAATGAGTGCTTGGCCGCCGTTTGGAAGCTTGTGGAAAGAGGCAATATGGTTCCTGAACTGAATGGCCCTTGAGGACATTCTCTGCTCCCTTTTCTAACCACCAGGGGGGGAGGAGCCAGTCCGGAGCCAGCCAGGCGGCAGCCCGGTGCCCGCAACCCAGTGTCAGTGCTGGCCCCGGCCCTGAGCCTTCTCCAGCCCGGGGAAGGTGTGCAGGGAGCCGAGGAGTCGGGTCAGACCCAGGCCACGCCACTCTGTCCACGCGGCCCTGAAGGGCAAGGCCTGAGGCACCGCCCTCCCGGCTGTGTCGCTGCTGGGGGGAGCCTGGGTGAGGCCACGCCGGCGGCCAGGCCTCCTGGTCCTCATCTGCCTTAGGGCCCCGCCCCTTCTCTTCCTCTCGTTTTCTTTCTCCTCCTCTGCTGTCATTTCTCTCTTGATCCCTGGCTTCCGGCCACTGCCTCCTCCACCCTCCCTTACAAGATGTGACCCCTGGCCTGATTGACTCGCCACAAATATGGGCCTTTTGGATGTTGCTGGAAGGGGAGATCTGAAAGCCTGTGTGGGAGGAATCTGGAGAATGCTCGCTTGGGCTCCCAATTTCTGAATAGTAATAGTTTTAAACTTTGCATTATGAAAACTAATTTCTCAAAGAGAAACGCATTCTCTTGCCGTGCTCAGTATACACAGGCGGAGAGGATCAGGTGTTGGGGCTGGGCTGTCCTTGGGTCAGGGAGCCGCTCCCCGCGAGACGCTGTGTCACCCCTCTCTCTGCGCCACTCATGTTTTTACCTGTGATCGTGCTGCACTGTTTTGGGCTTTAAAGTACACAAAATGTTACTACCCTTAAGTTTTAGACAGCTACCCCATATTGACTACCAAATAGCATCTCCCCACTTATGTTTCGTTGGCTCCCACTGCAGTCTTCTGGACCCCTCCCCGCTCCAGAGCCGCCCACTTGGTGTGACTGCACTCAGGCTGCTCTGAAGAAAATTATTTTCTAGTATGAATTTTCATCTTGGTGATGCTGAAAATGCTTGTCTCGTGAACTGAGACCCGAGACGGCATTTCTCGTGAGATTTCCCTCTGGCCTTTTCATTTGATTTACTTGCCAGGATGGCCGAACTCCAGCCCAAAGTTCTGGGCCTGAAGCTTGCATACAGCTTTCATCATGCCTAAAGCTATCTGCCCCTCCAACAGAATTTGAGCATCACGAATGGGGCTTGTGCATGGCAGCGTCAGCCCGGCTGGCGTGACAGCTCACTGCGTGTGGCCCTCTGGAGCGGCAGGGGCCAGTTTGCCCCACTGCGGTTAATGCTAGCTCGGCCACCGTGCTCAGCTGTAGCGTGCAGATGAGCAGCTCAGCAGAGATTTCGGTAGTGCTTTTGGTCATCTCCTTGCCGACGAGTTGCTGCAAGCCTGATCTAATTCTGGAGTCCTGAGGCGGAGTCCCCAGCGCCTTCGTTTTTAATGTTAAGGAAGGCCATGTGCTACTTCATTTAAGTAAGAGAAAGAAAAGAAAGGTTCAGAATATTTCTAATCTCTATAAACCTTAAGTAAAGTATTAAGAGATGATACAGCATGATTCTCCATTAAAAGTTTTTTGGATATAAACTTCGTACAAGACCTTACAGGCCTTTGTACATTAAGTTCTTGGTGCGAATATGTATTTTGTAGTTCACTGTACTAATTCTTGAGTCAGTTAAAATTTCAGAATACCTCATTGAGGCTAATAACTAGCAGAATAATTTCAGTGGCTAAAAAAGAAATTCATGATTTTGGTTTTCAAAAAAGAATAAAAGTTTGAACAGCTATTATTAAAGGAAAGCCATTTATTCCCATCTGAGTCACCAAGAATTAACACTTTTGAAACTTGTTAGAAGCCCCTAGAGGCATTTCCAGTTAATCGACCAACCTACCTGAGCACTTTAAAATACACCCTTTGTTTCTGCCCCCACCCTGTCCTCCTCTGTCTCCTCCTTCGAGTTGATATTCTCAACTGTCAACATTTCTTTCACTTCAGCATTACACAGTTTTATTTTGCGTAGATGTGTCCTCGGAGTGCAGACTGGGGTATTGTGTGATTGCCCAAGGTCAGTTGCTGTAATTTTGTAGACTGTCCACTATTCTTTAAGGCTGACGTTTACCTCAGGAAGCTCGCTCTGTTGTATCTTCATGTACTGAATTCCCAACTGTTAAGTGTTTCTTTCTACCCATACATTAGTACCTGATTCACTGTTAGTTCGATGAGCCATAGACGAGGCAGCTACATTCCTTGTAGAAACCAGAGTTAGTGAGCAGGCCCTGAAAGTGCGGAGTCTGTGGGGAAGTAGCTGCGCCTCACTGAAGTGACCAGGCCTAAAGGGAGAAGGAGGCATTTCATCCTCGCTTTAGGGAGTTAGTGACAGGGCTGTTCTTCAAAGTGACTGAGTGGAAGGCACCCTCTCTCCACTGAGCCCCATCTAACACACTCGGAGCTGGCTATTTGTGTCAAACCTTTGAAAATGAATTTAGCTGCAAATACAGCTAACCACCAGCCACTGCACATTTTGCAAGGTGAAGAAAGCTTCCTACTTCTTATGGTTGGTGTTTAGCACAAACAGTTAATACTATTTGTACATCGTTTTTTCTCTACTCAGCTTCTAGAAAAGACAAGCTTAAGTTTGTGGTGTGGAGAAGTTAGATAGGGTCTCACAAGCAGTGGGATTGTAAACTGTGCAATAAAGGCTGTTGGTGAAATGGCTTGTGGGGGAGCTAGACCGTATGAGAGAACTTCCTGTATCCATTATTTGGAGTGTTCTTCCTCTTTGACTGTGAATGCGGAGTCTCTAAAAGATCCTTTGCTCTAACGAGGTAATTTACATATTTTTCTTTTTGTTGAAATAATTGCAGATGTTAAATCTAACAGTTGTTTATGTCTTGTATAGAGAGTGTCACATGTATTTAAGTTGCGTATTTTTATAAAATAAAGCCAAATATGGAACCCTACTCTCTGGGCTGCCCTCATCTGTGGAGACACTGGTCATTAACACAAGCGTGCCATTCCAGACGCCAGTCCAGCCCCTGTCCACGGGGACCTCAGACAGGATATCTGGCTTTAGTTCCCCATTGGTGGAATGGAAGAAATTTTATTCCTCAGTCTTCAGACTATTTTGACCTTATTAAGTTGTGATGAAAGTGTTTTGATTTCTCTCTCTCTCTTTTTTTAAAGATTTGTTTATTATGCATACAGAACTGGCGTACAGGCCGGAGGTGGTGAGAGGATTTACAAGAGACAGAGTGGGGAGCAGAACAGGCAGATTGATGAAGTACACTGCAGAGGGGAGCAGCAGGTATGCAACAGGAGAGGTCTGCCGAGCCATGTGGGCCACCTCTCTGGCCAGAGATCAAACTCACACTGAAGGGGCTGCAGCCAGCTTTACAGTGCTGCACTCCAACCCATTGCGCCACCAGGGAGTATTTTGATATCTTAAAGAAAGATTAATAATATTTTTGCCATTTTAATTCAGATGAAACAGTTGTCATCTCATTCTAATAATGCAGATCTTGGCTGAATAACTTAATAGTTTATTAGCTGGTCCCTGGACAAGAAGAAGCCTTAAGTAACTGTGGCTAACTCTGCAGGACCTCAGTTGCACCTGTCCGCCCTGGCTAGTGTTGTGCATGGGTGAGCACACTCCCCAGTCAGGCCAACAGACAAGCCAGCAGAGCACAGTGCACTCTGTCCTGCAAACAGCTGTAGCCCACTAGTTTGTTTAAATCAGAAGCTACAAGAAGCCCCAGGTTCAGTACAAACATGCACCCCACCCTTTGCGTAGGGCGCGTTTCCTGTTTTTCCCTGCACGTACAGACCCTATATATGCCCATGGATGGTCCTAGTAAACAGACTTTGGACTCCAGACCCCAGGCTCCTGCTTTATTCTCTCGAGTCTCCTACGTTCTGGTGAACGAACATAGCAGTCAGTGCACCCCAGCCAGTGCACCCCTTGGTGGGTTAGCAACAAGTAAGACTGTCTTGTGAACCAGAGTTTGAAAATGCGAGCTCATGGGGCCAACCGCAGAAGGCGGCTAGCTCTGAAGGCTGTGAGCGAGAGCTTTGGTTTTCGTTATGAACAACCTAGGTCCCTGCCTGAGGATGCCCTGCTGGGGGACCCCCCTTCCTCGCTGGCCACAGGGACTGGCCCACAAGGCGGGGTTCAACCTGAACCACATTGGCTTCCCTCCCTGGGATCTTTCTAATTGGCTCTAGGAAAACAAACTACTTCTCAGCAGAGGGAGAGCAGAGGAGCCCTACAGATGTCGACCTTGGTTCCACCCCATGGAGAAAGCTGGACACTTTCCATCTGGTCCCTGAGGTCCCCGAGACTGAGCTGGTGAACTTCGAGGCACCAGCCAGCCCAGAATCCTTTCACCAAATCTCCACCCGCTGTCTTCAGCTTATGTCGGAGTTGGAGCTCTGTTACTTGCAACAGTAGACACGAAAGCTCATAAGCAGGAATGGAAAGCTTTGGTGCGTAGGCTGGTAAAGTATGGGATCAGTACGTTGTACTTATTACGGTTTATCGCTGCTTGGTGTTTCTCTCCTGGAGTTTTTGTGTGTATTTTAAGCCAATGATAGCCAGTAGAAGATTGAGCAGTTTATTCAGTATGTTTCAGAGTCAATTTGAAAGCAAAAGTTTATCTAGCTTTTTAGTTTCTATTTGATCCTATCCCTATTAGGAACTCTTCTAGATTCTTAAATTTATAATTTAACTTTACTGCTAAAATAGTGTCTTTAATTCTCTGTGTCTTTACTAAGCACCTGCTATGTGCCAGCCCTGTTCTAAGCCCTAGGAATGGAGCAGAACATAGACTCAACAGACGTTCCTGACGCTCAAGGGAGCATGT